CAACTTTAGCTTACAATTGTAGCTAAGAAGAGTTACCATTGAACACTGCTGAGGTTTTAAGAGTGGAATCTGAGGCCGGGCGCAGTGGCTCAAGCCTGTAATCCCAGCACTTTGGGAGGCTGAGGCGGGTGGATCACGAGGTCAAGAGATCGAGACCATCAATGTGGTGAAACCCCGTCTCTACTAAAGATACAAAAAATTAGCTGGGCATGGTGGCACGTGCCTGTAATCCCAGCTACTCAGGAGGCTGAGGCAGGAGAATTGTCTGAACCCAGGAGGCGGAGGTTGTGGTGAGCCGAGATCGCGCCATTGCACTCCAGCATGGGTAACAAGAGCGAAACTCCATCTCAAAAAAAAAAAACAAAAAAAAGAGTGGAATCTGAATACAAGCACTTTGTAAAAAATAATTTAAAATATCAGCATGGTTCCACTTACTAACAGCGTGCCCTATGCAAGTTGCTTTAAAACCTCAGTTTCTCTGTGATGATGATAATAGAGCTGACATCATAGAGTTTCTGTGAAGAACTAATGCGATAATAATTATGAAGCATTAAGCACATTATAGGTAGCCCATAAATATTAACCATTTTTTTCACAAGATTTTTTCCTTTCTTTGCCAACAAAACTTATGGAGCCTTTTTTTTTTTGGTTCCCTGAACCAGCCATTGGAATAAAACCTGGACGTAGAATTAGAATATTTTTAAAGCTGGAAAACAACTTAGATATTATCCAGTCAATTTTTTCTAAATCAATCTTCACTGTAACATCAAACACAATAACTGAAAACAGAGCTGCTCTAGTGGAAGGGGTTGTTAAAGGGAGAGCTGCCCCTTGCTCTGCCCAGGAGGCCCTATGGTACCAAGAGCACAGGTTGAAAGTCACATCCAGTCTCTTCCTCTCACAGAGGACTGTGGAGTCAATGGTGTAACTGTTTGTCCAAGGTCACACAGCTAATCAAGGACAGGTTGCCCGGGCTGGGAGCTGGATCTCCATTATCAAGGAATTCACCAATAGCTATGGAAACAGGATATATATACGCTAGGTAGCAGAAGAAAATCTAGGGCTACTTTTTTTAAGTGGTATTATCAAAGCCTGGGCCTTGTCACGGTCCTTCACCCTTTGGGCTTCAGTCTCTCCATTGAAATTTCTGTTCTTAGTAACTCATCATTTGTGTGGAAACTGATTATTTGTGTGCTCAGTGACTCGCATACCAATTTTTCATTGAGTATTTTTATTAGTATGTTCATCTGTTATGAATCTATTCCCTAAACAAAATATAAATTAAAATATGTTGACATTATGATTAAGAAAAATAGTTTAGGATAAACCATCTTACATAATTTGGAAATATATAGAAAGAACTCAGGAAGCAAGTATTAAGCCTGCTTTCCACTATCTCTTCTCTGTGCTTTGAATGATAAAACCTATATCACTTTATGTAGCAATGAAGCTTTATTATTTTAGCTTACTAAGAAATATTTCAAATATAAAAATAAGCTCTACTTGCTCCATCTGATGTTTGATTCTGAGCAGGGCAGCTAGCTGATTTGATAAAATGCAATACTTCCCCAATGCCAAGACTGTGGGTTAAATGATTTTGAATATTAAATATCTTTATAACTTCCTACTAGAGCAGGAACAATCAAAGGAAACTGCAGTGTACCTCTATATTCAATCTCACTAGCAGGTGTTGGTGGTTCCAAGCGTTAGCACTGTCTAGATCCTCTCTTGAATATCTCTTTATGCTGCATTAGCTTTTCTTAGAAAAACTTTTGTACATCCTAGTCTATGTTCTGAATTCTACTTAAAAGGTCTCAAATGGAAACAGAGATGGGCTTCAAACAGAGCACAGGGCAAATAAAGAGGAGATTCATTTCTCCCTCCATTAGGAGCTCCTCTTCCCACCACCCCTGGAGAGACAAAGGACTCTTGCCCAAGTATATATTCAACACAAAGGAAGATGAAGGCCTCCACCCTGATGGCAAGGTTTAGAGTCTAAAAATTAAAATCCATAGGCACTAACAGGGAACAAATATTTCAGGGGAAGAAGTTTGATGCCAAGAGAGTTGAATAAATTGTAAATGCCATGGGAATTTAGACCACAGGCAAATCATTGCTAGTATTTAGAAAAGACTCAGTGAAACAGACGGACCATGAGCTAAGCCTTGGAGAATGGCAAAAATTGGGTGGGTGGAGAGGAGGGATGGTGTTCCAGGTGGGGGAAGTTGAGTGAGCAGAGGACCTAAAAATGGAAAAAGACAAGACATATGGAAGCAAGTGGAAAGGCTCGTCTGAGCAGACATAAGCTTTTTGATCAGAAATAGAAACTGAAACCAAACCACGAAGGGTCATAAATACCAGACTGCAGAGTTCACACCTGACCTTTTCCCCTCTTTCTCTGGTGACATGAATCGGACAAACTAAGTCACAAAGGGGTAAAGGGCAGATGCCTGGCTTCCTAATTTTCAGTTACCCCAGGGATAGCAAATATCTTTCCTGTTCCATACAAGATCCCATCTTTCAGTAGAAGCTGCATGAAAAACTGTTTTCGAGGAAGATTGTAAGGTCACACCTGAGCATATTTGAGTGTTATGACTTCTTATTGGAATTTGTCAAGGATAAAACAGAGAGGAATTGCAGTAAGAATAGCAGTGGAGATACTTTGTATTTGCCAACCGTGATTCCAAAAGGGATAAAAATAATGGTAAAAAGTCCAAGCATCAAGGTTGCTTAATAGGGAAAGTGAATGTGCTGACATCTGGCCTCAGCAGAACAGAGCACTGTTATTGATTAGTAATGTCTGTCATGAGCACAGAAAGAAAAAGTAATGCTATGCATGCTACATACTTACTGAACCTACTTTTACCAAAAGAAAGTACACTAAAAGGACTTCAGACATCAGAACTAACCCATGCAGGAAGCTACATGTTCTAGTTTAGCTGGGTTCATTTGGTTTAGTTTGGTATTGGGAAAGACATATTTTTCAAATTGTATAACCAAGTTAGGAGCGTATTCATCCTATGTAAAAGACCAGCCCAAAATAGACATGGTGCCTCAGAATAAACTCAAGGCAGGACCAGAGAGCCCACTCATCACAGAGTTCAGGGATTTTAAAGACTCTAATCACAGTTTTGTTTATCCTAGCCTGTTTATTTGGTGAGACCTACCCAGTCTTTGTGAACTTGCTGCCCATGCCTGACAATGCTTCCTGGTGCGAATTAGACCTCACAGGCAGGTTTTCACCCTGATCTCTGATCTCACTGCTTATAATTTTCCCTCCTGTTGGGAGCCCTTCATCGCCTTCCCTTCCACACTTCTGGGGAAGAAGGAGTTTCTTAGCAGAGAGAGCAATTTTCTCGTCTGCTTTTTATTCTTCCTGTAAATACAAACAAGCGACCTGCACTACAAGAACTTTCATATTTGCAAACACCCCAGGGTGTTTCAGAAAAATCAATCTGACCAAAAACCATAAAATATGAATTCACCTGATACAAGCACAGGACGACTGTGGAGATTTCTCCCCATACGTCCGCATTACACAATGTCCATACAAATGACTCTGGAAACTGCACCAATTACCAGAGCCATTGGATAAATCTCAAGGTCAGGAGAATTTGCAGGAAAAAGAAAGCAAATGAAATGCATCTTTAAAGAGGTTTCCTTGCCTAAGAGAGGCAGGGCTGGAGCACATTCAAACAAAAGCAGATGATTTGGGCAAGAAATTTTCCACCTTCTCTTCGTGATTTTGCGGCTATCTGAGAATCGCAGCCTCCACCATCCATTCCACAGGCCTTTCCTAATCTGGAGTCTGTGTGATGTGCTTCTGTTACTGTGCAAGAAATGAGAATTGTGCTGGGCATGGAAGAAGGCAGACGACAGGAGTTTATATTCAATCTCACTAGCAGGTGCTGGGCATGGGGGAAGGCAGATATGCATATTTAAACATATAAAATGTTAACTTTTTTCTGATTATTAAAAAAATTCTTAGTGTAGAAACTTACAAAACACAAGGAATAGAAACAGAAATTAAAGTCACTACTAATCCCTCTCCAATCAGCAATATTATTGCGTATATTCACCAGTGCAGTCTTGAAAGGCCTGAGGCAGAACTCCCTGGTGCATGTAATACATGAAGACTCCTGGACCTACACCCACAACTGCAGAATCCAGACTTCTAAGGGCGGGGCCACACAACTGCATTTTTAAAAGACACCCCCAGAAATATTTTTTCAATAAAGCATTGTTTTAATTAAAGAGGTCATATACAGTTGAGAAAATGCCTTCTCTGGTAGTCCTTCCTTTGGTGGCTCATGAAAAAGGAGTTCTTGTGTACCGCGTCTTTGAAACATAACCTTTTCCAGGGACAGTAACGATATCTGTAGTTTCATCCAATTGTGTGGCAAACTTCCCACTGAATAATTTGTTCTGATGATTGTCTGTTCCCATTTTCACTTTTCCAGCCATTTTCCAACACTATTCGTTGACCAGAAAAATGGACCTTGGTTTGCTGCCATGTTGTTTTCCAGTCTGTAATCCATGTAAGCATTTGCCTACTGGTATTGCCTCTTAGACTTAAAAAAAAAAAAAAAAAAAAAAAACCACAGGGCTGGGCATGGTGGCTCATGTCTGTATCCTAGCATGCTGGGAGGCCAAGGTAGGAGCACTGCTTGAGCTTAGGAGTTCAAGACCAGCCTGGGCAACATGGCAAGACCTCATCTCTATAAAAAATTAAAAACTAGCTAGCTGTACATGTAAAAAAAAATTTTTTTAAGTATAGAATAAATAAATGCTCTTAATATTTTTATCTTTTTATCTCATGCATACATTTTTCTTTTTTCTTTTTTCTTTTTTTTTTTCTTTGAAATGTGTCCTCATAGTTTCATTTAATGGCAGATAAGGCACTAATCATGTGCCAAACCCATAAGGTAATAATTATCTGTAACCCCTATTTTTCAGATGAAAAGTCTTAGACACAGAGAGGTTATGGAATTCATTCCAACATCACACAGCTGGGAAGCAGTAGAAGCAGGTTTCAACCCCAGTAGTATTACTGTAAATCCAGAGTCTTCATGCATCACGTCTGCATTTGTCTTGAATCTCTTCTCAGGTTTTCAATATTGTTTCACATTTTTTAATGGTAACGTGTTGTTCCACTGTACTGATTCACTAGTGTTTATTTTAGAAATTATTGGACGGTTCCTCTCCAATTTTCAATGCTGTGTAAAAAGCACAGGAATTAAATTTCCACATATCCAGATTTATATTTTCTTAGAATTATTTCCTGAAAATGGAATCACCAAATCAAAGGATAGGTTCATTTATAGGGCTCTTGATTCAAATGATCAAATCGAACTCCTATTTTATTAAGATACACATCCACCAGCAGCAGAGGTACCTATCTCCCTCATAGAAAATACAAAAACTTTGAATATCATTTAAAATATTTATTAGTACTGCTATATTTAGGGGAGATGTTTAGTTCTTTTTAAACATGGAGCACAGGATAGGATCTTGGCAGTGCCAATGAATAAAGAATTAGGTAAGGAGGGCCGGGTGTGCTGGCTCACACCTGTAATCCTAGCACCTTGGTAGGCCAAGGCAGGAGGATCCCTTGAGCCCAGGAGTTCAAGACCAGCTGGGCATATAGGGAGACTCTGTCTCTATTTTAACAAATTAAATTAATTTTTTTAAAAAAAGAATTAAGCAAAGAGACAGAACTGAGTTCTTCCCCATACCTCCTGGGAACACCCAAGTTACCCCTCTCTGACATACTTTGGGTTTTGTTTTGTGTTTTTATGTTGGTGTGTGTTGTTTCTGTACCTGACATGTTTTGGCTGTGCACTCACTCAAATCTCATATTGAATTGGAGTTTCCATAATCCCCACATGTCATGGGAAGGACTCAGTGGGAGGTAATTGACTCATGGGGGTAGTTACACTCATGCTGTTGTTCTTGTAATAGTGAGCTCGTTCTCATGAGATCTGATGGTTTTATAACGGACTTTTTGGCCAGGTGAGGTGGCACATGCCTATAGTCCCAGCTACTCAGGAGGCTGAAGTGGGAGGATCGCTGAAGCCCAGGAGTTCTGGGCTGTAGTGCGCTATGCCCGTCGGGTGTCCACACTAAGTTCGGCATCAATATGGTGACCTCCTGGGAGCGGGGGACCATCAAGTTGCCTAAGGAGGGGTGAACTGGCCCAGGTCAGAAACGGAGCAGGTCAAAACTCCTGTGCTGATCAGTAGTGGGATCGTGCCTGTGAATAGCCACTGTGCTCCAGCCTGGGCAACATAGGGAGACCCCATCTCAAAAAAAAGAAAAAGAAAAAGAAAGGACTTTTCCCTCTTGGCTCAGCACTTCTCCTTCCTGCCATCATATGAAGAAGTATGTGTTTGCTTCCCCTTTTGGCTTGATTCTAAGTTTCCTGAGGCCTCCAGCCATGGGGAACTGTGAATCAATTAACCCTCTTTCCTTTATAAATTACCCAGTCTCAGGCAGTTCTTTATAGCAACGTGAGAACAGACTCATAGCTACCTTTATTTATGTTACACTCCGAGCTGTTTGGATGTTTTCATTTCTATGCATTCCACAAATTCACTTCCTCACTGTTCCACTCCTTGGTGATTACACTCCCCAGAAGATTTACAAAAGGCCTGTTAAGAGTGATTATCCACAGAGCACAGATAAAGGAATAGAAGCTCAGCCAGACTGAGCAACTTGCCCAAGGTCACACAGCATGCAAAAAGGAAGAGCCTGTATTCTCAGAGCCTGAGTTCTTAACTACCACCCTCCTCTCTTGGCAAAACTTCCTGCCTCTGAGAGAAAACCTGAGCTGCGAATCAACCATTCCCCGGGCTGACTGACCTAGCAAACTTACAGCCAAACAGAGAAATTACTTCCCTGCTTGCAGCAGAGAAGGGAAGAAACGAGTCTCTACCCTTTGCCCAAGCATTCCTAATGGATCCATCACCCCTCCCAGAGTCACTGGCTTCAAACACTTAGCCTGCGGTGTAACTGAAATCATTATCGATCCAGAGTGCTCTCTAAATGAGCTCACAATCTACCATGCTGCTGACCAGCCAGGCCCTGAGGAGCAGCTGCCTCCTTGATTCACTCTTCCTGGATCATATTTACACTGGGAAATTAGAAGTTAAAGTAAAAGCAGATAGAGGTGGAATTTAAATACATCAAGCAAAGACACAGTGTGCAAAGAAGGCAAAAGTGAATGAGGAAGTTTGTGCCAGGCGTTGCCTGAGTTGGCAACTCAGTGCCCTTCCCAGCATCTCTGGTACTCATTGATGTGTGAACTTCATGGGGGCAGGGGCTGTGCCTGTATCACTCACATCATATCACTGTGTGACTGTATCACCATCCTGCTATCTGCTAGAAGAGCTTGGAAGTGACAGATGAAGAGGTTGGCTTAAACCAGTCTGCGCTTGTTCTTTTCTAAGAAAGAAGCCCAGAGGAAAGGCAGCCTCAGAGTTGGTCTAGGAGTTCAACCAAGCCATCAGGTTTCAGGCTCTTCCTGCATTTCTGCTCTGCCATCTCTGGCCTCCTCCTACTCAAGCTTGATGTTCCAGGCCCTCAAGCTCCAAACATCAACTTCCCATTCAAAGCAGGAAAATGGGAAAGAGGGGAGTGTCACACGGGCCCCTTCCGTGTCTACACTTTTTATCAAAAGCACCCAGCCTCCTCTCATATCTCATCCAGTTCAGGATCACAAATCTACTAGATGGGGTGGTGAGGGTGGTGAGGGGGTGGTATTATCTTGATCCATTTAGAACAATCATGAATGACTCTTCACTGAGGTCTGACAAATTCCTGCCCCAAACAAAACTGATGTTCTATCAAAAAGAGAAAAAGAGGAATATTGGCAACTAACAATGACTGTTTCAACTGTACCCTGAGCACACAGCAGAAGGGCTGGCAAATAGCAGGTGCTCAGTGAAAGCAAATTTGATGAATCAACAAATGCCTTTGTTCTGGATAGGTGGAGAGAGGAGTGTGGATTAGGGGAAAGGGTCAAAGAGAAGAACAGAGGAGAGTGGAAGCTATGGGATTGTATCTGCTTCCCATCTTTGCTTAGAATGGATTTGAGCTCCTGTAGTTGAAGGAGTAAAGGCCAGAAACTGACAGTCATGAGCATCCTGGTGATATTCTAGGTGAGGGGTAATGGCCAGAAGCTCAGGGCACTGATTGGCACCACATAACCCAGCAATGCTCTGCCCACAAGAAACTGGAAGCATTAGCGGTAACCAGAGAGAGCCCTTTGGCGTGGAAAGACAGCAGAGTTTTTGGGGTGGGCCTCAGGGTGGCTTCAGCAGATGGCCTGCCAGGCGGTGGACTCCATCGGGTGAGAGCCAGAAGAGACGAAGGAGGAGGCCACATAGAGGTCATGGCTGACAGGCTGGCCATGGGTGCTCCTGCAACAAGCCTTGGAAATCCAGAGAACACTGTGAGAGGGTCAGTGCTGTCAGTTAAGAAGGTGGGGGCTTGTGCCAATACAATTTGTATTTCACAGGCTGGTGGCATTTAGGTTGCAAGTGGACAAGACAGAGTTGGCTCTGGTTTTCCCACACAGAGGAATGCTGGCCTAACTAGATTCTCAGAGCTAGTGACACCCATGGTAAGAAGCCTCTCCGGGAAGCCCTAGTTAGATTTTAGTGTCAGGATTTGAGGATTGTGCAGACAGAGCTGGAATTGGGGAGCTGCTGGCAGCCACATCTCCCCGACTCCTGAGCTGTGCCTGGAATAAGAGTCATTACTCTCTCCCTGGTTTAGAGGGTCCATCCTCCTCCCTGGGCCTCAGTTTTCTCACTTATAAAATGAAGGGATCATGTTACAGTCCCTAAAAATCATTTAACGCTGGTCTTCTGTTTTGTTAGCTAAGGAATATACAAACAAAAAAGGGCATTAAAATAAAATCAGAGCAACTGAAGATATGAATAAAAATATGACCCGCCCAAGAGGCAATGGTGTAGCAGCTGAAATTTAGGCTCTGGACTGCACCAGGCCAAGATCTGTATCATCTTATGTTTTTAAGTCTGAGACATGTTTTCCTCATCTATCAAATGTAGATAATAATACTGATCTCATGAAGCAGTGTTGAGAATTAAATACTAGACCCAATGTCTGGTAAAGTGCCAGGTATCCACTAGGGGCCTCATAAATGTCACTTTAAAGTAACCAAAAAAATATAAATCCTCAAGTGATGATCTGCCACTAGGACTTCAGAATCTCAATGTCCTGTTTTAGGTTCCACATCTTATCCCAAATAACACTATCCATTTTCTGACTGCCAACTTCACAACTAAGGAGGCAGCCAGAACCATCACACCTTCCTGAAAGTTTAATGACTGCGTGTTTTATTTAGGGGGTTGCCAGGATTTATCCTGGACTCAGGGAGGTGTGGAGAGGCCCTATATTCTTGAAGGGCCCAAACTTGTTCCCTTCATAGGCCTTGTCTTGTTGGATAGCCAAATAAAAGACTTTGCCCACTCACATGCAAAAATCTATTCATTAATGGGATGCAATTCACATTATATGCCACTAATTACCTTAGGAAGGCAGTTAAAATTAATAAGGAACCACAGTTTAATTGTTCCATAATGACAGGGAGTTCCAAAGTGCCCTCTTGAGTAATAAAATTAACATTTAAACTAGTTCAGTCAAAGAACCTTCCCTTAAACATAACTCTTCACTATTAGCATGGCTTATTTATTTATTTTTCTCTTTGCGCAGCTCTGAAATGTCACAAATTTAACTTTGAGAATCTGCCCAATGTTCCACACAGTGACTACATTGTCTGAGGTGTTTCAGGTGAACTACGGATGGCAGGAGGGACCCTGGCCACCACCACACACACACGTGTGCGCGCACGCACACACACACACACACACACACACACGTTAGAGTGCCCTACATTTATTTAAGCAAGGGTAGAGAAGCTTTTCAGAGGCCAGTGCGTCTCCTTAATGGGAAGTGGGGGGCCAGGGCCAACTGGCAAAACTCTGTCCAGGGTAGAGTACTCCAAAGTCTCAGAAGTGACATTTTTGCTATGACACCATTGTTTATTTCACATTTAAACTGCTAGCACTATCCCAAGATCTTCTCTGTACTTTTGTTTAAGGGAATGTGGCATATTTTAAAACATGCCTGTAAAAGGTTCATTCTAATTTCCTCTCCCTTTGAATATGGGGAGGATTTAGTGATTCCTTTC